GGGGGGGGGAGGCTCAGAGGCCGCTCAGAGAGTTGCCAAGGTACGAGCGAGGCATCGCCATTGACCTCCTCCTCTCTCTCCCTCGATGGTCGATCCGGTCCCGATCGTGGAGGAAGAAGGGGTGGGTCTCAATGACCTTGTTGCGTTGTGACCGGCTGTGGCAGCAGCGGCTTCTGGTGGACGACGTACAAGCTAAGCCGCTTCGGACGGGAGGGGATAGCCGGGCGGGCGGGAAGAGAGCATCGACGAGCGGGACTCGGTCGACAGGTTATCGTCGCCGCAGCGGTGCAGTTGTCGCCGCACCGCCGTTCTCATCGATGCTCGCCCAGAGCACTGCTACCCGTCGTGTGTCGGCGGCGTGCTCACGAGTTCCGGACCATGGCGCTAGCTGGGCGGTACCGTCGCTTGACCATGGGCCGACGCGGGGCCCACGAACACCGAGTCCGGTCCGAGCTCGAGGTATCCATACACGAGTCGTTGGACGACGGGCAACTGAGACAAGAGATGGGGTTGGACAGCTTTGTCCGATTCAGCTGACAGGCAGGCACCGTGGCAGAGAGACAGAAGCAAGGCTTGGTATGCAGAGTCTCTTGACGCCACACGACGGCCCAAGATCGATCTCGTTCACGCTTGCTTGCCCCCGAGGTCGGGTCGTGACACGATGACCGCCCGCTCGAGCTTGGGGAGCGGCGCAGAAGCAAGCAAGGTGAAGCCCAAGCCAGGCGCAATCCATCGACGTCGGGCGTGCGGGCGGAAGCAGCCGTCGCCTCAGCTCTGCGCGGCTCGGTACTGCCCAGGCAGCGCAGCGACCAGCTGGCTGCTGGCTTCTGATCGATGCGGGCGTGCAGCTGCCGCGTTGAAGCGAGCGGCAGTGCGCAGCATGTCTCGCAGCTGATCCTCGCTCGGTGCTTCGCGTCGGGCGGCTTCGGACAAGAGCGGGCGACGCCCCAGCCTAGCTGCGACTGCTGCAAAGTGATGTCGGCACCTGAAAATGCGCGCAGCTGGTGACACCCCGCGCCTCAGCTCTCGAGGTCCAACACCCACACCGAGACCGAGACCAACACCTGAGTCGGAGCCATCCTCGGAGCCATTCAGAGCCAAGCTTTGAGGACACTACTCAGACTCTGCAGATTGATGATCCGTGTTCGACCAGTTTGAGCATCTTGCTTCTTCATCATCGCCGTCCTCGGTGGAGCCCATCCTGCCGCCTTGGCCTGCTCGCACCTGAATTGTCGAGCACCGCCTTCGCCACCCGTCGGGTGTCGCCGCCATGCTTCAGAAGTAGTCGCACCGGCAGAGGTTTAAGCCGCACTGCCTTCCGGACGAAGTTTCAGCTCGAGCTACGGCGAACTGCCTGATAAGGTTCAACCTTGTCGAAGGTGCGCTTGAGCGGCAAGACCGCATCAGACCCACAGCGCGGTGCGATAGCTGCAGCGCCTAGCTGGCGACGCACAGATGGACAGCAAATTGCAGCCGTCGCCTACGAGGTCAGGAAGCAAGGCAGACACGTTCGCCGTGAGGAGACGGTAGGTGCGCACGAGCTCACCCCAGCGGTAGCTATCTGCCGACGTCCGGTCCCTCTGCAGCGGCTGCAGCGGTCATCGTCCCGACAACCGCTCGCCAGCGAGCGAGACTGCCAGCGCGCGAGACTCTTTGGCTCTGACGATTTGCCCTTGCTTGGCTTTCTTCATACGCTTCGAGATTCAGATGCCAATCGTCGAAAGGGCCTTTGGAAGGGCAACAAATAGCCTAGGTGCGGGCGGGACCATGCTGCGCCACCCTTCCCATCGAGGCAAAGCAAAGGCCAGCAGGCAAGCTCGCTCGTTTGTTCATGCACCTGCACACCCGCCCGCCTGCCTGCCCGCCTGCCTGCCTGCCTGTTCCTGCGAGAGGCGCGAGGAGGATCATCCGGCCTCGAACCGCCTCGGCTATGGTTGTGCCTCGAGCTGCGAGGGAGCGATCCAGGCTAGGGTTCAACAAGGCCTGGGCGAGCGGATAGGCCTCGCGGCGCGTCGAGAGAGAGGCGGGCTGGCGGGTACGGAAGCGTCTTCGGCAGCGTCCTTGCCACATCAACCTGTTCGCCAACAGAAAGGAACCGGCCTGGTCTCGACTCTAGCCTCGTCGGCCTGTCCTGCTGTCCATCGCGCAATCAGACCGAGCCGTCGAGGAGCAGGGCGGCCGCTGACCGGCAACACCGTACCTAGCACTGTGTCTGTCTGCACACGTAAGCAGTCGATGCGGTAGCGCCAGCAGATACGGCCGTCATGAAGCTCTTGCGTTGCACTGCGGTGACACTCGCCGTGGTAAGCAGCCAGAGTGACTGTGCTCCTTGTCGAGCCTAGCTCATGGAACGTGCCGCCCGTGCCCAGCTTCTCGAAGCCTGTGCTGGTCCGGACTCGGTGCGGCTGGCCGGCAGAGGCAAAAGGACGGCTCGCTGCTGGCGAAAACGCGAGGAGGCTGCAAGCAAGAGTTAGAGACTACTCGAACGGACAACGCGAGCTAGAGAGCACGTACTGTAAGGTGCCGCACTCACGATCATCGCATCATGGTTGCCACGGCAGTTCTCGCAACGCCTATCTTCCGAGCTTCGTCTTGCCTTCATCCTTCGATTCGAGCGAGAGCGCCCAGGCAGTTGCGCGTGTGTGGGCAACAAACGACACGGCATGACCTAGCCTCTCTCCTTTTCCTTTCAACCCGTTCCGCGTCGAGCGTCGGACAATGCACACCCCCGGAGTGCTTAGTGCACGCAGCGCGGCCCCGCCCGCGCGGTGGACTGTGAGCTTGTCGGGCCGACGACGGGCATGAAAGCGTGCCAAGCCAGAGCGAGAGACTCTCTACATATCTATCTTCTGTGTGTGGGGTCCGGGAGCCCCAGCCTCTTGCTTCCACCTCTCCCCGAGGGAGGCGCGGAGAGGGCCCGAATGACCACTTTAGCCCGCAACGACGACGACGGGCCGGGCCGGTACCGTAGGCATTCTGTTGCTCTGACATTGCTTTGAGGCGAGACCAACTGATCGCGTCCGACAGACGCACGACGGCCAGAGTCATGCCTCTGCGCCGGGCGACCGAGTCCGGTCACGTAGCCGTCATCTACATAATTGAGGCTAGCCACACATTCATACCATCGGCCAATCATCAATGGCTAGCTCCAGTGACAATGACTGAAAAGGTCCTCAATTGCGCCTCTTCGGATCAACCAACCGACGGACCGACGGACGCCAAGCAACCCGCTCTGTGGGGCGTAGAAGTCCTCGGCGAGCAAGCCAGAGATGTTGATACGCGCCGGGCCGGCCCCGGTCACGGGTTGGGAATGCCGATGCGGCGGATCCAAGCCGATTGACTTCGATCCAAGGCCGGAACGGTGGCTGCCTGCAACCCGCCCGATGGCACCGGGGCGAGCTCGTGAGCAAGCCAGCAAAGCAAGCCAAGGCGAGAGGCTCCCCGCTCCCAGCGATCGCATAAACGCTAGCCGCCGCGCGCGCCATTATTGCACCTGGCCAACTTCGACTCAAAGGGAGGCGAGGGCGGCTTGCTTGGGTCCATGACCTGGTGGGACCGTGTAGTACGCTCTATGGCACAGGTCGCTTCGCCTGCGTGCAGGGCCAGAGCGGCGCAAGCAGGTACGGCTAGCTACCGCTCAAGCGTGCTGTGTTGCTGGGTGGGCCTGGATCGTGCTGGTTCGGGTATGCTCGCTCGTGAGGGATCCCGAAGGCGGCGGCGAGTGAGGACGACCTGACTAGGCTGTTGACTGCCGATGCAAGCCAGCCTCGACAACGTACGGACCGGACCCTCGCTGCCTGCCAGGAGGCCCTGGGCATGAGATGCGGCCTGCGGAGCGGGGCGGAGCGCGGGCCGCGTCCATTCGGCAGACCCGACCCTTGGTTCCTGGCACAGGCCGCAGCGGCATGACCAAAGCCTTCGTTCTTGCGCGCAACATCGTCGTTGGTCGTGGCCCGGCGCGGAACCGCCGGTCCGTCTTCTCACCTCCCCCGCACATCGCAGCACAGCGCAGTGCAGTCGACGTTCGCTGTCCATGTCGCAGGTACATACGCCTTCGAGTTCGCGCGTGGGCTTGCACGGCGCAAGGAGGTCGGCGTTGACGACGGCGCGGGTCTGTTCGGTGCTGGGCTGGCCCGAGGTACCTGCTGCTGCCATGCTGGCATGGTGAAGGTTTCAATCGGAGACCCAAAACCTTTGCTTGACGTGCAACGCCAGCTGCGGTACACCCGATACCCTGACCGCCACCGATTCCAGCACCTTTCGTGAAACCAGGCCAGGCAAGGCAAGGGCGGAAGAGCAAGGTCAAAGTCGAGGCGGCGTCGGTGGGTGCTTGCTTGCTTTCGCAGCCAGCGACCAGACGCCGACGGGCGGACCCCCCTTGCTTGCGCATACATCAAGGGTCCGACCGGATATGGCGCGGAGGGACCCTTGCAACGTTTCTGAACCTCGCTGGCCGGCACTTGCCGTTCGTACGCAGCGGCGGACCGAAAGGATGCAAGGGCAAGAGGGCGAAATAGGGCAGGGCATGGCAGGGT